GCTTGAAGGCGGGGCAGGGGTTGCAGGGGCCGATGCCATGGGAGCAGGAGCGGAAGGTTGGGCAGAGGGGATGCAGGCTACAGCGGGAGAGGTGACGGGATGTAGCGCGGCTTGTTTTGATGGAAGCCGGGCTTTATCAGCAGGTGTGCGTTGCGGCCATCCTTTTGCGGTGGTGTGTCGGCAAGGGCGACCCGAGGGGAAGGGGTCGATGCACTGTGCGGTGGCACGCGTCGCGGCTGACCGCTGACCTCTGCCCCTCCCCTACCCCGCGACCCTGTCAGGTCGTCGGCTACGGCGTCGCGGGCTCAGACCCCGCCGGCGAGGACGCGCCCGATGACGAGGACGACAAGGAGCTGCTCAAGACCCGCGCCTACTGGATAGGTGGGCAACCAGCTTCGCACCGGGGGCCGCCACGCAGCCAGAACACGCTCCTTCCCTCGCTGGCGGGCGGCGCGCCGCAGCCTTCAGGCCGCCGCTCGGGGCCGCCTGCGTCCTGCGGCGTCCGCGCTGCAGCGTCGGCGGCCGCGCGACCCCGCAGCTCGCGCCGCCGCGCGCACCCTGCTGGGCCGGGCAGTTGCCCCGGCTCGAGGCGCACCTGCCTGCTGGCTTCGTCCCACATCGCTCCTGGAAACGCGACGCATATGACACACACACACACACACACACACACACGTTTTCTCTCTCTCACACACACAAGCCTCCGCGCCGCGAACCGCCGCGCACAGTCAAGAACAGCTGGGGCGGCGGCTGGGGCGACAAGGGTTACATCAAGATCCGCATCGGCCGCGGCAAGGCCGGGCTCTGCGGCATCGCCTCCCAGCCCTCGTACCCCCTCAAGACCGGCCCCAACCCGCCGCCCGCACCCAAGCCCAAGCCGGGGCCGGGCCCGAAGCCGGGGCCCAAGCCGGGGCCGCCGAAGCCGGTCGAGTGCGACAGCAACAACGAGTGCCCGGCGGAGACCACCTGCTGCTGCGTCGCGTGAGATATTTTTGCTTGAGATATCTTCGCTTGTGATGACCGCTTTTGGGGCAAGCATGCAGCTGCATGCTTGCCTTTGAATTGAGGGGTCTTGCGCGCTGGCTGGGCTGTGCTTCTAGCCCGTCCCCAGCGTGCCCGGCTGGGACCTATGAGCCGCGCCTGGCTGGGCAGGAGGCCCCAGTGGCGGGCGGCTCGCTGCAGCTTAGGGGCCTCTTTGTGGCCCCACCTCTCTCTTGCGGCTTCGACATCGCAGTGGCGGCGCGACCCCTCTCCCCCTGCCCCCACACCCCTCAATCTTCCATGTTTATTCCCTGCCTGCACCCTGACCTGCTTCCCTCCCCTCGCCACCATCTCCCGTGCCCCGCAGCAACATCGCCGGTTTCTGCTTCGGATGGGTGAGCTGCCGCCTGATACTCGGAGCGCCCCCCTGGCCCTTGCCTTGGCACATACAGTGCCCCTGCGAGGGCTGTCCCCGCCTGCGCTGTGGCCGCCCCTGCGAGGGCCGGCTGCGGCCCGGCCCCTTCTCGGGCATCACTCTGCGTCCATGTCTGCAGGCGGTTCGCCGAGGCATCCGTGTCGCAAGCATGCACAGATCCTCTCACTCGCCCCGCACGGACCCCCTCACTTGCCATGGCACGTCCCCTCATCACCTCATCTAACCCGGCCCGCTGCCCCTCCGACCGTCTCGACTGCAGGGCTGCTGCCCGATGCCCAAGGCCACCTGCTGCGACGACGGGGAGCACTGCTGCCCCAACGACCTGCCCGTCTGCGACACGGCCAACGGCCGCTGCCTGCCGCCCTCATTCGCCGCCGGCGCCGCCGGCGCGGTGCGCTCGGTGCCGTGGGCGACCAAGACGCCCGCGGTGCGCAAGACGGCGGCCTTCTACGGCAAGGGGCGCTTCGCCAAGGGGCGGCAGGGGGCCAAGTTTATCGGCGAGCAGGCGGGCGGCCTGCCTGTTGCGGCGTCGTAGGCAGACCCGCGCCGCACCGCGCGCAGCGAGCCGCGGCCTGCGGGCTTCCGACCGCCGGGAGGCTGTTCGAGCGCCCTGGGCGCCTCCGGTGACTTGCGGCGCGCGCGGACCCGTTGTGAGGCGCGCCTGCCTGCTGCCCGGGCTCAGGCGGGGGCCTCGTTATCAAAGGACGCGTCGGGGGCCGCCAGCCGGCTAACGACATCCAGAAACCCAGCCAGGGGGTGGGGCCCTGACCACTTCCCATAGGCCGGCCCTTGTGCCGTGCCTGCCTTGGTTCTCACCGCACACACACACACACACACACACACAGACTTTAGCCCGCAAGGAAGCGCGGCACCGGTTCATTTACCATCGGCTTTGCTGGACAGCCAGCAAGCCTCGCGGCCTCAATTCCCTGGCAAAGGGCGGGCCGGGCTTGGCTATGTGCGCCGTTTGATTACGATTTGGATCGCGGGTGCCGCCTTTCGCTGATTGGTTTGGACCCCACCAGTGTACCATCATGGGCATTGAGTGACGTCCCCTCCTGGGGGCCCGGCCCCCAGGTGGGCCCAGGTCTCTCTTGACGGCGCCAGCGCTCACGCTGCCACCCGAGCGCGGCGCCTGCCCGGCCGTTTCCAGCCGACCAGGCTGCCGCTCTCAGACCCTCCGGTTCATTATTAGACCCGAGTGTACATTACTTTTAGCCGCTTGTTGCCTGTCGCTTTCAGATGTTTGGGTGTGCGCCGCACTTCGCCCCTGGGCTTTTGCATTGAAGCCAGGCGGGTGGGCGCTGCCCCGCGCCCAGGTGCAGGCAAAAGGGGCCCAGGGCGAGATGGCTGCGCGAGCGCCACACGCTTAACCTCCCAACTTCTACTGTATCCCTCTGGCCCCCCAGCGGGGCCAAACCCCCAGGAAATCGGTACAACAGCAAAATATCGGGCAGCGATCCAGGTGTAACATTGCATGTAACATTCCCGCGCCGCCCTGCTCTGTGGGCCTCGTCGGCCGACGCACCTGACTGGAGCCATGCGGGCTGTGCGCTGCCGATCAAGTGTCGTGGCTTGAAGACCCCGCCTTTCGAATGTCAAGTACCAAACCCCTTTGGCATGGTTCGTGCAGCTGCATGCCCCTGGAATGCATTGGGATGCAAGCACTCTGGCAAGCGTCACGCGGGGGTGACGGCAAAACAGGGCTGCTGCATCAGCAGGGCGGAATGCTGTTGAAGCCAGGGCTTGTGGGGGCTAGCGAGCATGCGCTTGGAGGGCATGCTGTTCCCACCGGCATGACACCTGCCTCATCCCAGGTCAATCGGTCTGTAAGGCGTGGCATAAGAGCGAGCGGGTGGAGCTCATCGTGCACGCGCGGAAGGGACATGGGCGCCTAGTTGCTTGTGCTGTTCGCTCATCTGCCGGGTAGGCGACGCCAGGGCAGCAGGAGGGTGTACCAACGCAAGTTTATGCGGTTGCACGCACATACGTCCTTCTGTCTGTTTCCCAGTCGGACACGGTTCTACGACAGCTGCCCGCGGCCAGCCAGCGGCATTTCAGCCTTAATCAGGGGCAGCAGATTGGAGCAAAGGCAGGTGATCACCACAGGAGCAGAGCAGGTACAGCGCAGCCTTGCTGATTCAAAGCAGGACAGCTTGCTGCTTGCTGCGTCACGTCCCACGCCGCGGCTTCACGTCAATTGCAGTAAACGAATAGAGGCATACTCAAACCAGCTATGGGCCCACTCGCGCGCGGTCCAGTGATCAGCAGGTCAGCAGAGGTGATCAGGCCTTTGGAGGCACACAGGCCACAGCGGCGTGCTAGGCAAGTATTGTGGGGCCATCAACGTGGTCAGGTACGCGACAGCGGTGGTCTACACGCTTTGCGTGCAGGGAACCACACCGGGGAGAGCACCGCCATGGGCACCTGCGCATCAACCAGTGTCGTGCGCCTCTGCAAGCCACAATGTCTGCTTGAAGCTGCAGCAACAGTCACAGCTGAGGTCCAGGGGAAGCTAGCCAGTTTGGGCAGTTGCTTACGCAGGCTTAGCCACCTATCCTGTTTGCAGCCGCCGAAGACCTGCCGCGTCTGGGTGCGTGCATGCTCTGCAGGATTGACAGCAGCGCCATCGACAGCCACCATGTCGCACTCCCCAGCCGGCGGCGCCGACCGCGACAGGTGCGCCGGCCCGCGCCGCCAGCCTTCCCTCCCGCCCGCCCGTGCCGGCCCGGTTAGCACCCAGAGACAGCTTCGACAGGCGCGGTGTTCGCGGACTGCATCCTTGCGTGCCTTCTATCACTGTATACCGTACGTGCTGCGTGGCACCGCATGCGTCCGGCGGCGCCCTCGCGCGTTCTCAGTCTGCAGCGCCGCCTCCCCATGCCATCGGGCCAGACGCCCATGTCCCGCTGCTACCATTTGCTACTTGCGCCGCCTGCCAGGCCGCTTTCTGATTCATTCAAGGCCTTTGTTGGGGGCATCCCCTGGACCATGGACGACGCGAGCCTGAGGGAACGTGAGCAGCCAGCAGCCTGCTGACAGCCCCGCGACCCCCCTCCAATCCCCGCACCTCGATTTCAAACGCGGCCATCAGAAGCCGCAGCAGCATGCGCCGCGCTGCCAGCTGAGACGCGTGCCCGGCTTCGCCGCCCGCACCCTGCTCTCGAATCGCATGCCATAACCCCTTGCCCCTCTCCCATCCATGTGGGGGGTGCAGTGTTCTCCGCGTTTGGCGCTGACAAGGCGGAGGTTATGCTGGACAGGGTGACTCAGCGCAGCCGCGGCTTTGGGTTCGTGTATTTCAAGGTGCAGGGGGCACATTACGAATAAGGTCACTCGCTAGGGAGGGGCTGGGGTTGCTGGGGACAGCCGTGCTTGCTAGGTATGAGCCGGACTATATGGGAAAAGGCAAGCCGTGTTTGGGATGGGTTGGGCTTGCCGGGCAGATCTGAGAGCCTGGGCTGGCCAGTGATAGAGCGTTGCATGCAGTGACCGCGGGGGCGGAGGACGGTGTGTGCATGCTGGAGTGGGAGCGCTTACTGTCGGCGATTGGGGAGCGCCTCAGGATGTGTGTTGGTGTCACCGTCGGCGTGGGGTCTGTCGTTTGTAGAAAGCATTTCCAGAGGTGTGAAGGAGATAGATGAATGCAGGGCTAGAAACCTGCAGAGCAACACACAGAATTTTACACACTTGCGCACATACACATACTGTTTACACACACCTACTGTCTGCACACACACACACATCCACACACGATGTGCTTGTGGCCGCTCACGCTCACCTGCCCAACACCCCCGCCACCCCCCACCCTCACCTCCCCCATACACAACCGCACACCTTCAAAGGACCGTGAGGGCCTCAACAGTGCCACCCGGGAGAAGCATGCGCGCACACACACACACACACACACACACACACACACACACACACACACACACACACACACACACAAAACAACAACCACACGCCACCAAAGGACCGCGAGGGCCTCGACAGCGCCATCCGGGAGAAGCACGACACGGAGCTCGACGGCCGCCGCATCAGCGTCAAATCTGCCATCCCTGAGGACCAGATCCCGCCAGGTCAGCCCAGCGCACTGGAGTCGCCCCCTCCTCGTTGACACCCTCCACCTGGGCCCTCGTGCATTACGTAGAGGGATCTGTGTCTGCGGCGCCCGCGGCCCTGGTCAGGCTAATTCCAATCCCGTGGCGCAAGCTGCTGCGGGGCGGTTCTTCGCCCCTAGAGGATTTTACGCTGGCTTTGATGGCAGCTTGCAGGCATGCGGTTGCAAGACGCCATCCGCGTAGACAGACAGCGCTCGTTTCTCTGCCAGAGGGGCGCTCTCACAGGGTTCCTGTCATATGCTGACCCGCCAAAACAATACGCTCGCTCCAGCGCCAACTGGCACACACCCGCTGCCGCACACCCGCCCTCACGACCCGCAGGCCAGCGCGCCCCGCGCCGCAGCGGAGCCCCTGGCCGCTTCGGCGACCGCGGCCCCGGCGGCTATGGGTGAGCGGTCCCCTCGCCGCGCCGCCCCATGCGGTTCACGGCACCCTTCGACCGCTCTGTGTGTGCTGACCTGGCACAGAACTGGCTGGATGCAGATCAAAAGTTGCTGCTCGATTTGGCCTGGGATGTGTCTCTCTGTGCTCACACCTCGGCTCCCCACGCTGCCGCGTACCCCCTTGTACCCCTTCATGCCCGTCTTCACGCTACTGCGCTGCGTGGCACCCCAGGGGTGGCTACAGGTGCGAGCGCGGCGCACCGTCCGGCTTTCAACCACTGGCGCCTTGCGGCTGCTTCATCATCTCACAGTTTGGGCCTCAAATCGGGTTGTCTCGTGCCCATGTTATGTTTGCGCCACTGCAAAGCGCGCAGGACCCATCCCCGCTTGCACTCTCCCCTCAAATCTGCATGGCCAAACCCGCCATGTGCCTGTCCCGTCCCGTCCCCCCCATTCAGGGGCAATTACGACTCAGCCAGGGGCGGTTATGACCGTGGTTACGACCGCGGCTATGACCGTGGTTATGACCGGGGCGGGTGAGTGGCGTGTTGTCATGCGTCCAGGCGCTTCGGCCTTGGGTCTCAGGGCTCTCTAGGCCACCCAAGCGCGCCATGTGCACCGGCCGTGTCCATGCACCCCTTGCTTGCAGCAAATGTATGTCACCTTGTTTCTATACTGCCACGCCAAGTATTTGCTGCACCCCACCCATGTGTGCACCCCTTGTCAAACAACCACCGCCGCGCGAACGGGCAGGGGCTACGACAGGAGCGGCGGTTACGGCGGTTACGACCGCGGCGGTTACGGCGGCGGCAGGTGGGCGCGGCCGGGACGCACCGAGCCGCGCTGACCGTTCCGCCCTGGAGGGCCCCCCCCCCACCTGTTTACCCACATCACGCCGCAGTTCGTATCTGGGCTGCTTTGCTACTCATGTCGACGGATGCCTTGTGACAGCGTCGTTCTCATGACAGCGTCGCCCAAGGGAATGACGCTTTCGCTCGATAATGCTCCCTCCTACCCCCTCCCCTCGCACCCACCATGACACCTGCAATCCTCCCTCGTTGCAGCTACGACCGCGGCTATTACGGAGGGTGGGCACCTGCACAGACTTGTTCCACGCTTTGCGCTCATCCTCATACGTCCTTGCCCTGCCTGCGCTCTCCGCACACGCGTGCCTGTGCGGCCGGGCCAGGCTGCATGCTGCTCGCTGCGCACCCTTCGGCTTGACCCGACAGAAACCCACCCCCTGCCGGCATCCCCGCACTGCAGGGGCGGCGGTAGCTATGGTTACGGGTGAGCGCGGCACCGGCTGGCTTGCCCCTCCCCGCGCTGTCGCAGAGGCGCAGCCCAAGGCGCCAGTTGCTCTGGTCGCATGCTCCTGCCTACCTTGCGGTGCCAACCCCCAGCAATGGGCCAGATCTGTACCCCACCGCGTGTTGCAGCCCCCCAAACCTTGACGCCTTTGCAACTGCCGCCGCCCGCTCTGCGCAGGGGCGGCTACGACCGCGATCCCCGCGGCGGCTATTACGGCGGGTGCGCGGCCGCCCCTCCACCCTTCCTGTTCGTGCCCGTCCGTGCGCCGCTTTTGCCTTGCACCCCGCCTGCCGCTCCCACCGCCCCTCAATCTGCCGCGGCGAGCGCCTCACCTGCCAGAGCGCCAGCATTGTGCAACATTGGGGACCGCGGCTGGGATGCGGTGCCACCACCGCCCTCCGGCACACACACGCGCGCGCGCGCGCGCACGGCATGTACCTGAGCAGCCATCCCTGCCAAGCCCCTGAATCCCACACCAACTCCCCAAATCTTAAACCCTTACAGGGGCGGCGGCGGCGGTTACGGCGGTTACCCTGAGTCGCGCGACCCGGGCTACGACCGCGGCTACTATGGCGGGTGCGTGCGGGCGGCCCGGGCTGGGGCGTGCTTGCATTCTTGCTTGGGCATGGCCAGGACGGCATCAGCGCCGTCCCTTCGTGCTGTGCTGTTCTGGGTGTGTGACGGGTGGTGCTGCGCAGCAGCCTGCGTCCGCTGAAGTGGGCGAGCACAATAACGTGTGGGCAATTGCCGCCTGCCGTTTGCACCCCCCCAACCCTCCCCTCACCCTCTCCGTCTCCACGTCTGCCCGCTGCCGTCCTTTGTGCAGCGGCGGCGGCGCGTCCGGCTACGACGCCGGCTACTCGGCGCCGCCCCCCTCCTACGGCCCCGAGCGCGGCGCGCGCGCCTACACGCAGCCGCGGGCGGACCCCTACGCGCGCGCGCCGCCCGGCCGCTGAGCGGCGGGGTGGGGAGAGAGGCCGCGGGGCGGGCC